AACCATAACAGGGTTTTGTTTTCAAAAAGTACAAACTTTATATATACACCAGCTTATTTCAAAAACGTATTTTCTAGAAAGCTCCTATGTATGTTATTAAAAATGTGTTTTATGGATTGAAAATTTTCAAGTTAGAGCTCTGATAAAGTTTCATTGTGGATGTATATTATTGCAGTAATGCTATTCATAAATATTAGTAAAAAAGGCCCCAGTATGTATGTATTTTGCATATTATAATGGTCAACGCAAAATATGAAAAATGAATAGTAGCTGAAAATTCAGTTTTATGTCAATTTAATATTATATACATTTCTTGTATCATGATATATATTTCAATTATATTTTCAGATATGTCAGTATAATAAAATTATTATTATATTATATTTATTTTAAAATGCTAAATGAAACTTAAAAATGACAAAAGAATATAAAGGAAGAAATTACACAATTGTAGTATTAAACCTTTTTTAGTATGTGCCATTGGTATTGAATTTCCTTTTATGTCATAATACTATTGGCTCCTGGTTTTGAGCTAGAAATATTTGAAAGAAAACAAGGCAGTCTCCCTTATTTTGTTCAATGAATACTGCTAAAATTATTTGGAGAATAATTCACTCATTACAAATGTGACAGTATCCTCCTCTTATGGAAAGGGGAGACATATGAAACATTACCACGGTTGAAACTGACAATAGTTTTGAAGAATAATAAAAATATTGAAGATAGTGAGTTACAAAGGTTGATCCATTTCAGATGAACAAGTGGAATATTGGAAGGGTCGGGGATGTACCTCAGTGGTACAGCGCCTGCCTGGCAAGTGCAAAGTCCTGAGTTCAATCACAGTAACCCCCACCACCAAAAGAGCCCAGTTGGATTTTGGAACTGGTTTTAGCATAAATGCTAAAATTTAGTGTACTGGTTGAAAACTATTTCATCTATAAAAAATATGGTTTATGTTACTTGTCAATTAGTTAAAATGGTCTGCATTTTTCAGACACAAATCTGACTGTATTTCATGTTTTGTGTAAAATTTTATATAGCTTGTGTCATGTACACAGCCTATTTTTTTCATTTCTATCTATATTCATAACTTTATATGTTCATTAAAATTGTACCAAAACTCTAAAGTGTCTCCGCTTATACTGTTTTATTCTAAATTTCTGTTTTATTAGAATAAATAATAGAATATAGTTGCTGTTACAGAATTGCATAACAAACAAAATTTGATGAATATTACATTGTTTTAAGAATACAAGCAAGATATGGCATCTAAATGTATAATTTGACATTTAAAGCAATAATGCAATTGGATAAAGTCAACAAGCTAGTTCTGGTAATGAAAAACAATGAAATAAGATTTAATGCCTTTAATACCTTGTGGTTTATTGTATTTTTTTGAAGCCAAAATAGACTGAATTGATGAAAGATCAATACATATGGCCTATAAATTAAATTTTAAAAATTGAACAAAGTTAAAGTAGAGTATGTACACACACACACACACACACACACACACACACACACACATATATACACATTTTTTTTGGTATTGGAGATCGAATTCAGGTCCTTATATTTGCAAGTCAGGTGGTGGAACCACTGTGCTAAATCCCCAGCCTATACACATAATAAGCACAATGTATAGATATAAAATTAAGAAATGGCTTAATATTAGGAGTCATACCTTAATCATATAATTAATTGGGTTTATCTTAGTACTGTCTTTAGGTATAACTCTAAACTTCTTTAATTGGTTTACTTGGAATATTACTAATTTAAACATAGTTCTTGGACTAGTCTGCTAACTTCAGTGCATTACCTAATTACCAGCTACCACATTTAATTTTTAAGATCAGAGAAAATTCTCCACATTAGTAGTCATTATAGGAGAAAACGTAAGCATTGATTCCTGCTGCAATTCAGAATATATATTTTAGTTTGCATATTTATATAAGAATATAGTTTAATATTATGTTTAATTCATATATTCCTATGAAATTATCTACTAATTAGATAACATTACCCATGCAAAAGCAGGTATGGATCCCTTTTGACCTATTTATTTCCAATACATATTTTTGAGTTTCAATTTAGAAAATACACTAAGGAAAATCAGAGGTTCTGTGAACACAAACTTTACACCTTTTTCTTTTCAGTTACTATATATTTTATAGACTTTTCAGATGTGATTTTTATATTATTATTTTAACTTTTAACCCAATAAAATACTGAACCAGGTTAAGAGGATGCATGAGGTGTGATAGAAAAAGTGATGAATGTCTAGATTAAAAATATTTATTTATTACAGTAAAAGACACATTGCCATTAATCCCTCTCAAACTCTGCCTGGATTTGAAAACAATTATTCTAATCTTCTGCCCCTTCTGGGGCAGTTTTGGATGTCCTTTTTGCATCTTTAGTTTCACTGTGTCACACTTTGATACGTTTGCTGAACTGTGCAGCAGAGGTTAAATTGTTTAATTACAGTGCTCGCTTGTATGTGCTACTGTGTGGGGCTTCTGCTGAATGAGGTGTTGTGCACTGTGTACACTGTACATTCAGAGAGTGTATGTGTTCTTTTGTCAATTGAGATTTCCAATACTTTTGTTTTAATAAAATATGTAGTTTTAAATGTTGTACTTAAAATGAACTGACATAACTCAGCAGAATGCACGACTTGTTTTCGTAACTTCCAAAGTTAGAAATTCAGAGTGGCTACTGTGGATCCCTGTTATGAAATCAGCAACTCCAGAGAGGCAGTTTACATCACTTGACCTTCTCTTTCTCCTTAGTATCTGCTCAGTATCTGATGACTTCGCCATTATCAGCTGTAATATTATACATATATTATTAGAGCAGAAATGCTTGAGTATGAAATATATGTAATGGAAGCTTATTAGGACCCCTCTGTGGTGTATCCAGTAACTGATGGAGTTCATTGCCTTTCAATATAGCATTCTCTGTTTTCTTTATTGTTTTTAACTTTAACCCATGGCTTTAACTGTTAATGAAGTCTAATTTGGCATTCTTAACCAACATAATGGGTACATTTTATAGATGCATTGTCCTACTTCAGTGAAATTGACTAGATTTAGTGCTCACTCTATTCTTATGTATTGAGGCAAGAAATGGATAATGTATTCCTTTGAATACATACAAATTTCCAAGCTGATTATTTCCATTAAGTAGGACTTCAATCACATATGCAGATGAATTTCTTCTATACTTCTTTGCATTCTCAGTTTTTAGGCAAGCTATATTTGTTTAAAAAATTTTTTTTAATTTCAACTAACATCTAGTGATCAAACTTGAAGTTCTGGTACTGTATTTTTGCCTTCTAGAGAAATCTAGAAATGAAAAAATATTCTCTATGATCATGACACAAATATTTGAAAGCATCATGTATACAGTATTTTCTTGTTCCTACACCAAACATTCACCATTACACTCATCATATACAATGCATGGACTTTTTATCGTTGGAAATTTCACAGTCATTATTTTTCTTTCAGTGGGATTTTTCTTAAAAAATTACTTTGAACAGCAAATTTATTAAATTTTCTGAGTTTAACATGGTATATCCAGTAAACACAGAAAAGCACAGTGAAAAACAAATATTTAGAACTTTTTCAATACTTAGTGATATCTGTGGTTATTTGTCTTGTTGAGTAAATGGGCAATTGATATTTATTTCCTGTTGTGATAAGTTGACATAGGTCCCAGAAAAATGACTGAGATTTGGTGTCATGAGCTTTACTAGGCAGTGTTCTTGGAAACATCAAATGTGAGGGTAGGGCCAGAGATCTGGGTTCAGAGTCAACATTACCTGGAATGAACGCCCAACAGCAGCCTCCAGCAAGTACATGAGGAATGAGGGAGCAAAAATGAGACCAGTTTTCCTGCAATTTTGGCTGGTCTCAGAATTTGGACACGCCAGCAATAAGGGGGACTTCTAAATGAGGAAGCTGCCTTTGGCAGTAGGCTGTATGTGGAGGAAGTCTCATGTATAAACCAGCAGCACAATGTATCTCATAGCAGGGGAGTTAGTGCCCAAGTCTTGAAGAAGCTGCTGGACAGCTCTGTATCTCCTACACATGCCAAAAATATGTAATGTTTTAGGGATCATAACTCAAATCATCTTTTGAAAGTGTATACATTTAATAATTTTTACTACGATTTTTATGTAAGAAATCCAAGAATTAATTGATCCTATGCTGCTCTCGTGTAAATATTGTTTCAAATTTTCTTATTTTTTAATGAGTACTCTAAACTATTAATGATTATTTCATACAAGCAAAAATTTAATCATGGTCAATAAAATATGAAATGTGAGGTTTTTTCCATAAAAAGAGATAGATATTTTTAGCTACTATCTAGTATGTTTTGTGAACCTTCTGAAATGAATAAGGAAGCTTTATCGTCATATATTATCATATTTAAATATCTCCCCTTGAATACAGGTGGAAACTGATATGCTTCTTTACGGAATAATTTGGAAAAGGTAGTGGAATGCTATTCCCGTGATTATGTTACTTGATGTGGTAAAAGTAATGTTATAGCCTCTTTTGTGACAAAGAATATACTTTGTTGATAGCCAATGCAATAATGAAAACTGTTGTCCTATCAGAGGAAGGAAGTGAGTTCTGTCAACAATGACAAAAGCTTGGAAGATGATCTTGACTCCTAGAAAGATATGCAGCTGGGCAATACATTAATTACAGCATTTTGAATCATGGCTTCAAGTCATAGTTCAACTATGTTCACTCATGTAAATGCTGTGAAATTAATAAATTTTTATACACATAATGCGTGAAATGGAAATTGAAAACGAATACATCATGGGTGTTAATTATAGAATTTTTTATTTTAAAAAAGAAAACAAGTAACTGAAATGTAAATTAATAGGAATATTTTCTTATTTATATATTAGGTTGCTGTGCCATTAGAAATCTTCCTGTTGGTTTTGGTATATTTTAAAATCATTGTAAAGAGATTGCAGTGCTCTCTTCAGCAGAACATATACTAAAATTGTAATAATACAGAGAAGATTGCCATGACCCCTGTACAAGCATGACACACAAATTTGAGAAACATTCCATATTTTTTCAATTATTCAATTGTGTGAATCCGTTTTTAAGTAAACTTCCTAATTCTTTAAAAAAAGATTGCAAACAATATGTTAAATATGACAATTTTTCTTAGTAGAAAATAGTAAACAAATATGAATTTGAAAATCTGAACATACTCTAAATATGGAAAATAGGTTATGGTAATATTAAATTTCTTTGGGAGGGATATCAGCAAAGTAGCAGAATAAAAAGTCTCCCATTTGTATCAATATCAATAATTTGGCAAATGTCCATTTGGAATGGTTTTCGGTGATGAAACCCTGATGAAGCCTAAGACCAAGGAGAGCCATTAGGAGAAAGCAGGTTTGTAGTTGGGTGATAAGTTCGTTGACTCTGATCCTTGCTAGAGACCATAAAGTCACATACTCTTCTAGACCCTTATCAGCTCTCTTTAGCCTTGGTCATGCCACCAGTACCATCCGCCAATGGATCATAATTGTGTCACACTTATGACTTGGATACTGGCCCTAACTTTTCTTGGTCACACATCATATGGTTTTATCACTGAACTTATCTTAGCAGTAGCCCATGAAAGATTCTACCTACTGGTTAACACATTTATCTGTGACCCTGGAAGAAGACCTCCAGCTTCATTCCCACTGAAAATCCTGAGATGAGAAAATCCTGAAATGTCCTATAACTTGGCTTCAGCCCCTTTCAGTTGAGAACTAGAAGTAGGTCTGTCCACATGAAGGCTAACAGGGAAACATATCAGTCATTCCCTTTGAAAGAGTTACACTTACCTCTATATGGCTTAAAATTCTTAAAGTGCCCCTATAACTCGTTCCAAGGAAGTGGTTTTAACTCAGAGAGATATGCTTGTCTGTGCTCTCAAAGTAGACCTTTATTCACATGCAGAATGAAACAGCCTTGCTTTTTAATTCTAGCCTCCTCTGGCTGTGATCTATTCAAGTACCAAAATGGTGGCACCTACATCTGAGCCCCAGTAGTCCCACTGAATTTGGTTTTAATTTACTCAAAATTAACCCTGTAATCTTGATTTAGGCTTACTTAACTGTAGTTTAAGGACAATCCTGACCACCTACCAAATTGAAAGAAGGCATAAGGTTTTAGTCATTTTCCCATCACTGGAACAAAAATATGTGTTACTCAAAATTTAAAAGAACAGAGATTTACTTTGATTCATGGTTTCACAAGGTTTGGTTCATTGTTGCCTTTCTACAAGATAGAAACAGCATGGTGGAAAGACATGGTAGAGTCCACCCATGGCAGTCAAGAAGCACGAAGAGAAAGAAAGAGCTAGGAACAAAAATACACCCTCCAGGCAACACCTCCAGTGACCCACATCTCTTAAGCAGGCCCTGTTTCTTAACAGTATGTTTAGCTATGACCTCAAAGCTGGATTAATCAATTTATGTCTATAATACCACCATGATCTAGTCATCTTTCAAAGGCCCTATGTATAAACATATAAGCTATTTGTGGAATATTTTCGATCTAAACCACAACATTCCATGCCTTGTCCCCAAAAGGCTAATGTCTACCTATCCTTGCTGCTGTAAAAAGCAGCCTTTTCTTTAAACTCTAATATAGCCTCATAACTTAGTTCCACATCCTTCAGCTGTGGAGGCCAATGTGAAGGCCAATACTGAGTATCAAGTGGGAGACTACACAGAGAATGAGTGGAAACCATTCCTATCCAAGTTCTGGAAACAAATCTTCCTTCTCTGAACACTGAAGTAGATGCTTTATCGTTAGCTGTCCTTACTTATCAGTGTCCTGGAGACAGTACAATTTACCCAGGGGCTAGACAAGATCTAAACTCATCCAGTTCCCTGAGTTATGTCATCCCCTGAGCTATAGAACTCATTAGTGACCCAGCAACAACAATTTGGTATGGCTTAATCATTGCTGGACTGCTTTTCTTTAAGTCATCAATCAGGGAAACCAACAGGAAAAGGTATTCACCTGTCAAAACCAGTCTGTAAAGCTAGAAGAGGTAATGATTCCTTCAGTGTACAGAAACCAAAACAAGCTCACGTGGATTACAAAGAATCAGGATAGCATGATACTACCAAAGGAAATTAAGAAAGGTGTGGTAATAGATCCCATGAAATGGATCTTTGAATCAACTGACAAATAATTCAACATAAACATTTTAAACTCAGTGAAATGCAAGAGGGCAAATAGCTAATCAAATGTGAGAAAACAATTTATTAACAAAATGTAGAATAGAAATTAGGAGAAAAAACCAGAATCCTAGATATGGAAAATACAACAATGGAAATAAAAAATTAGTAGAGAACCTCAACAGCTCCCCCTGTAGAATCCATAAATAAAATAAATGAATTTGAAAATAGGGCGTTTAAAATTAATTAGAGGAACAAATGTAAAACAAAAGAAAAAGAAGATGCATACTGGAACTACAGGGCCTGACAGTTCTAGTTGTTCATATGGATTATGTAAACTCCAAAAGTAACAGAAACAAAACAAGCCAGAAGCTTTTTGTAAGAAGTTTCCAAATGTCAGGGGGGATATGGTTTTATGAACCCCGGAAGACCCTACGGAGGATCAACCCAAGGAAAATTAGCATGAGACATATTGTAATCAAACTGTCAAAAGTCAATAATAAAGATAGTATTTTGAAAACAGCATCAAAAACATATGTCACCTACAAAGGACTAATAATGGACTTACCTGTGATTTCTCAGCAGAAATCTTGAAGGCTCAAAGAGATGGCTTAATGTAATTAAAAGAAGAAAAAGTGTATCAAGAATATTATACTTGGTAAAGGTAAAGGCATAAAAGTAGTGATAAAATGAATATACAATCAAATTCAGAATACTGATTACCACACTGGTCATGTATAAGTGATAATATATAAAGTGGTACACTTTTTTGTTACAGGGCATAAGTAATGTTCATAAATCATTTTACTCTAGCAGAATGTTGAGATATAAAAGTATTAAAGTATCTAATATTTTGTTAATAGATGCATGACATAAAAATAGAAGTATAGTCTCAGTATCACGAAGTGCATATGAAAAGGGAGAAATCACATGTACTGTTTTTTATGCAGTTAAAATGAGGCTTTTATCGAGAATATTACATAATTTTAGTGTAAATTCCAATATTATTCTTTGTCTTCAACTTTGAATAGACCCTGTTTCTGAACCTCAGATTTGAAGATTTCTCAGGATTGTATTTCCTCATCTAATCCTTGGGATACTACTCAATGCTATGTAAAATGCTCTCTATTCAGCCCCTATTTTCTTGGTAGCTCAAATCTGCCATTTAGTTATGCATTATTTAAGGCACAGTAACGTAGCCTAGTTGGATTTGGTTAGAAATTTTCCTCTGTAATTAATAATGTCAGAGTATCTATGGCATGGCAACTTTGTGCAGAATTCATGCAATCATTCCACAATAAAGTAATGCCTTTTTGAAATTATTGATCAGAGGATAATACATATTGAAATAGAAGTTCCTGATCAAGACATCTTCAGTGAAAAATCAATGTAACCATATTTATTTTTATGTTATTTGTTTATTTATTTATTTATTTTGGTACCAGTGATCGAACTCAGGTCCTTGAGCTTGCAAGGCAGTCATCGGAACCACTGAGCTAAATCCCTAGCAATGTAACCATATTTATAATGTCTCCCTCCAAGAAAAATATAAAATAAAGCATTAGAGAATAATAAAATTGTTTATAATAGGAAAAAGATACAAAATATCCCCAACTGCTTAGCAATACTTCATTGACTGAATAAGTTATGGAATAGAGAAAAGACATGTCAATTAATAGAAAATTTTACAGTATTTCTGGTATTAGATTGAAGAAAGAAGTAAAAATGTGAGGTTGTGATCAAAGAATCATGTAATGAGAAAAGCATTTAAGAATGAATATTCCAAAAATAACTGCATGTTGTTAAAAAAAAGAAGATAGAATATTATGAGAGAGATTATCTGGAAAATTTTTGCTTAGTGGAAAAATTCCTCTAAGACCAAATTTGCTTTTAGAAAGACAAGTTAAAGCTTTGTGCCAGGAGACACAGATGATGAACCAGAAGTTTCAGCATGACATCCTAATAAGAGGTGAGGTCCTCAGTATCAGCATGTGGGCACTGGGTGTCAGCTCTATGTTTGGGAGACAATCACTACCATTCTATTAATTACATGTGCTTTTTTATTAATCTAAGGATAGAAAAATTATGATCTTTACCTCTTTTATAAATCTTATATTGAATAATCTACATTGGTCTATTAAATAAAGGCTTTATTGACAGTATTTGTTTTGTTTTGTTTTTGGTATAAGGGATCATATTCGGGACCTTGTGATTGATTACAAAGCAGGTGGTGGAACCACTGAGCTAACTCACTGGCCCTTATTGACAGTTTTGATGAAACATGGAAACTAAAAGTTACGTGCTTTAAACCTAAACTAAAATTTTTGATTTTAAAAAATGTCTCACATTTTTACTTTATATTTGCTTCCAGTTGAATTTTGTTTTCAAAGCCTACTATTTTATAATTAATTGCTTTCTTTTTGAGACAGGTCTTATGTAGTTCAGGCTGGCCCTGAACTAACTATGAGTCCAGGCAGGCCTTGAAGTCAGTGAGTCTTCTAACTGTCTTTGGGCTAAGTGTGAGCCACCACATTCGGTCAATTAACTATTTTATTTTATTTTTCTGGAGAAAATTCATCTCAAAGAAAAACTATAAACTTGGAGATCATCTAAATTATTCTCCCAGATTTATACTCTTCCTAGTATCACTAGTTTTATATTTTTTAGAGACGTGTTGCGAATGCTTCAGGAAAAAAAAGAAGACATTTTATTTGAGGATGTGTATAGGTAAAGTGGAACTAGAGCAAAGCATTTGATTATCTTTCTGCTCTAATTAATACAATATCGTTTGCCAAAGTGTGTAGGTATCACAATCTGGGAGACAAGTGAGGGAAATAAATTAAATAATATTTTCATTTTAAAAAAAGGTGACAGGTTGAAAGTGGA